TTATATTTTAGCCCGATTCGTTGAATTTATTTGAGGATGCTGAATTGAAACAATATTTCGCTGTCTGTTTTATGCCGTTTCGTAACAGAGCAAATCTAACGGTTTCTACAACGGTTCTTTTCCCGTTTCATTGGACATTGCCAGATCATATGTTAAACGAAATATCATGAAAATAAAGAACAACATATATGCACGAAAAAGCTAAAAAAGGGTTCTGATTTGCGTATTTTGCAGAACCTACGTATATACACATGTATGTACATACATATATATTTGAAATACTTTCTCAACCATGAACAGCTGATAAGAAAAAGTTAATAAATCATCTGCTTTAGATGCAGTCACACTTACAAGCACATACATTTGCACATTTGTAATATATTTGTATTTGTGATGCCTATGCAATTGCATACGTATGTATGTATGTATGTACTTTCCAAGCCTTTGAATGAAGAAAAACTTACCGAGTAACCACACTTGGCACCATCATCAGATTTCGGCACAGTTCTAATATTCCTGGGCTCCACATAATGCACAACACTGCTGAATATATATAATATTGCAAGCCCGACACCGATTTTGTCAAACATTGCAAATTAATTGAAGTAGCTATCGCCAACTAAGTGCGTTTCAATCGAAGCTCTTGCTTTTATAGTCCAGTACGATGTGCGTATGTATGTATGTATGTACCGCGATAAGGAACATATACAATTATAATGTACTTAGTTGAAGTGGCACTTCAGTATTTTTGCCAGCAAGCAAGCGGCACCAACCGGACGCGTGAACGATATAAAGCAAACTGAGCGGCTCTGGTTGGCAGCTTGAGCTCAGAACCTAAGAGAGAAATTTTTAATGCCTTGCGCAGGTGGCTTACTCCCGCTGAAGAGCGAGCATCATTATATTTAATGACGTCACATAACTCTCGCAGTGCAAAATTCTGCAATTCCTATAATTGCTGCCGGCTTGAAGATGTTAAATATAGAGATATATTTGAAGGCTTGTCATTTGTGATGTCACGGGAATCATTTGTTTATTTCAAATCAAGCACCTTCGTAGAACAGCAGTACGAGCACATGTGTATATGTGTATGTGCATGTTTTGCGTTGTGCTCTCGTATGCACAAGTGTATATGTGCAATTTATCAAGTTATCAATTCATTTCATCTCCTCTCTTCTCTTCTCCTTACCGTAAAAATGCCCATAAATTGGCGAAGAAATTGAGAAAATGCTTAATATTTTGCACGTACAATTTTCACTATGGTTGTATGGTTGTTAAATTCGGATGAACTTAAAATTAGTACTCAAAAGCGCGGTCAAACAATAGTTCTTAAGTGGAACACTTAAGTTTGTATATGTACTAATTTATACGATGTGGGGTTATTTAAATTGTATTGTACTTTAGCTGATAGCAACAGCAACGGTACTTGATATTTACAACAGTAATACATACAAACATGTACACATTTCTATTAGGTACATACATACATATCTACATAGTTCGTCTATAATTTATACATACATACGTTATTTGTTTTGTTTTGCAGATGATATGTATTATTATTATTATTACTATTATTATTAAAAATTTGCATTTAGCCAAACATTATTTTAAATTTCATAGCCAAATAAATGCCAAAGTAAGCGCAATGTAAAAAAATATACAAATTCAACTAAGCCCAGCACGCTAAAGCCCAGGTAGAGGCCGGCAGTTCCGCCTATTGAAACTGAAAAGATTATTGAAAATAAATAATATATGTATTTATATTTAATATCATGCCCAGTGTGCAACATACCCAAGAGATCCGTAAAGGAGAATATGACTTGCCTCTTGAATTGATTCCTTGGCCAGGTGTTCATCGAAATGGAACTGCCCATGCTGCCCAGCAACTGTTTGGCTCCCCGCATGGGCTGAAATAAAATGAAAGTAAATTAGAAAAAATATATTTATTTTTTTAAATAAAATTAAATATATATATTCACAAGCGCCCTTTTCAGTTTGAGTATAGCGTCTATACAATTTTGTTCGCAATAACATTCTGCTGATTCCGCACGATTTCCGTCCTTCTTGTAAAATTTAAGAAAATAACCTTTAAGAAATATGAATTATATATACATAATTATGTTTATCGATATGTAATAAATATACTAAACTGACTGGCATGCCTGGGAAAGCAGGACTTTAAAGTTTTGTAATTGCATACAGGCTTCGGATTTGCAACTAAAATGGTTTTGAAAGTAAATTAACTGGCAAATGGATATACATAAATATGAGATTATAATTAACTTACTTTGATTTGGGTAAAAATGGGGAATACATTTACATATTTTATAGGCCAAGTTGATGCGGCACTCTTGCTGGCAAATATTTTTGGTATAAAATGGATAATGCGTAAGATTTGATTCATGATAGAAACGGCAGTTCCTTTGGCTTATAGACGTTTCACTGGGATATAGAAATATCTATTATATATGAATATATGCGAAAATCAATTTACTAACGTCCTGAAATTTGATTCAGCAACTATTTCCTCGACTTCCGGTTCATAGGTAGCTCCGTCATGTGTATAGCCAAAATTATTATCCACCTTCATAACTTCAAAGGCAGAGTGTATATAGCTCTAAATGAAAATTATACAATTGACATTCGATCGCAACAGATACAGATTACCTTCATTACGTACATCTATGGCCTCACACTCGAAGCCTAACAGGGTAAATCCCATATCACTATCAAAAAAGGTTGCCTGCTTAACATCAATAAATCGGTGCAAGTTTAGATACTTATTAAATTCCGGATATTCGCCAAAGATTAGAAACCGTGAGCTGTACTCCTCGCCCAGGTAAGAGCTGCACAGGTAGCACAGCCCGAACTCAGTGAGGATCTGCCTGGCCCTCATGTGTATCTGGCCATCAACGCAGCGAATACGGATCGCCTCGATTGGCTCGTAGGTGCCATCATATGTGAGATTGTAAATTAATTCCATATAGTGTTTGGGTCGAATGCCCAGCGAATCTAGTGTACCATCAATACTATCATATTCTGGTATATTCTGAAAGTTGGTGTACGTAGAATTGGCTAAATTTTCTAGAAAATCCCAAAACTCCGTCTTCTCACGTCCTCTCAACTTATTTACCCTAGAATACAATTAACAAAATTGTTGTAAAAAGCTGAAAAATCAATTGAATGCAATCTTACCGACAATATTTGTCGAAGAGGGTTTCATTTATGCGCCGCATGGGACATCTAAAATATATATGATTATCATTTAATTTTGAGATAAAATATAAGCTCAATCACATTGTTATGCTCGGCATTGAGGTATTCCAATAATACGAGTTCCGCTCCAGACCGATATGCGTACTTTTTGTGTGAAAGCGATGCACGGAGGATAGGCAGGATATTATGCAGAAATAAATGGACGCGATCAAAAGTATAAACCACAATAATCTGAAATGAAATAATTATTTATCATTCTGTGACTCTCTTGAAACTATTGCCACCAATGCTGCACAAAAGACACCTTTTCCATTTTTAAATTGAAATTATTTTCCAATTTTTAGTAACTCTTTGATAATTTATTAACTAATTGTTAAATTAATTTTGTGGCAAGGGAATAATTTACAAAAAACTATTTCCTTTATTAGCTAAGGTGTCAAGGGTCGCCTTTTGGTTGAATTAGGTATAATAGTGTTAAGGCCCAATTTACCTCTCCAGAAAAAGTAACATGCTCTTCACTAAATAACGAAAACCATGAATACAACATGTATTTAAGTACAGACGTATAAAACTAAATGCCATTATTTAATTCTCTAACAGAAGTGTTTTGCGCGCACGCCAATATCAAAGTGAAATGGTCGAAATAAATTTCTACTTTAAAGCCTCACTCTAAAGGTTTTCGAATAGAGCATATTGTTTTTAAAGTCACCAGAATTAAGAAAAAATATATTTGTAAAAATAAAATCTTGATCTTGCTTTTAATAGACCATCACGTTCAGATCCGAAATCCGAATACCCTGCAAGAGAACTCACCTATTATTATCCGGCTAAGTGATATCTAAAAGTCGAAACAAGTTGGCTCGTAGATTTCGGTCGCGTGACAAGCTCACGTTTGCTGAAGTAAACAATTAAACATGAGAAATCCATTTTGGTTTTAATTGAATACTGAGACATATAAATGAATATGTTAACTGAGACCTTCAAAAATTAGGATTGTTCAATTACATCGAGAGGCTGGTTGACTGATAATCGATTTTGGCGCGCAGGAACACTTGGAGCTGAACTTTCGCTCGTCACAGGATGAAGTACGCTGCGGCGGTGGGGGTCGCTTTCTTCTCCGGCAAACGTTGGGTTTCTTTTTGGACTCACACACATTAAAATCAACATGTTGCGACATACGCTCCTGCACAGTGTTTACCACCTTCTGGCAGATCAGGCAGGTGACAATTGATAATACCAGGATACAGCCTAAGACTAGCAAAATGAGCGGCACTTTCCACCAGACTTCATCCTTGTCATAGCCGTCTGTAGCCAGAAGCTCGGTGCTTCTTTTGATTGATCTATAACACTCCTCGGCGCTTATTAGGCCAGCCTTCGATTTCTGGCCACCATCCTTAAAGCGTTGATTGACGCCGCTTTTCGGGAACTGCGAGCGACAATCGGCACAAACCTGATTAAACCAGGTTACACAGCGTTTACTCTTATCGTTGTATTTACAATAGGGCTGCATAGTTATTTAGTATGAACTAAAAGTCAGCAAGCCTCTCTAGTCCATTTAGTATTTGACAATAGTTTCAGGGAAAGGCGTGCTTGGACTATGTTTTATATAATACAATACTTCCACTATAACTAAATTTGGTTTAAACTTTAAATTAGGCCAAATACCTCAGCAACTCATAGATTAAAAGTAGCGCAAAATTGTTTAAATTAAAACTAATCTGAAGAGTACTTGAAAATAAAGAATTCTCAAGCCAGAAAATGAATTAATTAATTAACACACGTCGTAGAGTTAAAAGAAAATAGTATAATATCTTTAAGTGTGGCACTTGATTCAACTTGTATCGTTTGTGAGATATTTTTAGTAAACTGTTTGTTGGTTTCCTTTACGTATTTATGTACTTATGTGGTATGTATTAATAAATGTAAATGCACTCGTATGTCAAATTGGAATCCATTCCGAGAATTTGCGGCTAGATATATGCCTAACATATTTAATGAACATTCACGAATAAATGTAAGAAATTGCTTTAAGATCACGGTTTTCGTTTTAGCCCCTTTCCTTCTTTCGCAACATTTAAAGCTACTTTTGCACGGGCTTTTCAGTTGGATTCGATTCAATGGAGCTTCGTGCAGGACATACAGCAATGGATCCGATAATATTCGTAGCTGCATAGCTTGGCTTGCAAGGCCCATTTGCAGTTTGGAAAATTATCCAGGCAGGCCGGAGCTTCGTCGTTTTGGAGCAGTTCGTTATTAAGATCTGCAAGAACATCAAATAAATCATAAGAGATGGAATTTAAAATATGTTTTTGCACCTCTACCTTCGCATTTTTGCGTGTTACAGTTGCGATAGATTGGTTCCCTAAGTGCGTATCTGCATTTGGTGGATTCCCGCAGAGCATTCTGTTTGTCATCGTACTCCAGGCACTTGACAGTGCGCCGCTGGGTGCCGCCTTCGCAGGATTTGGTGCACTGCAACACGAAATAAACGTCAGTAATTGGACATTAATATTTATTGCACTCGCCAGCTTACCTCGGACCACTCGGAATAATGCCAGCGCGGCGCACAGTACTCGATCTCCTCGTGCGAGCAATTCTCCAAGGCCTGCGGCCTCAGCTCCAGCTTACACTCCTCGTCATCGGTGATTAGCTGATTTCGAATACACAGCACAGCACGGCTGCGGGTCAGGTTGAAGCAGTCGCCACTGCATGGTGACCAGGGACCGGCAAACCAGTCGCCCAGCTCGCAGGCATTTTGCACACAGGGTCGTCGGTTTTCGGGAATATCGCGCGGCTCGCAACGTTCCGCTTTAGTCTTGGGCCTATCGCAAAAGATTGTGCGGTACTGCACGCCCGGACCACATGAGGATGAACAATACTGATTCCACTCGGACATGAGCCAGACCGCATCGCTAACAGTTTTTGGAGCCCGATGGCGACCCAGATGCGTGCCATTTGCCGCATCCGGATGCAGATGCATGCGGTAACGGGCTGAGTTGCGACGTCGAGCCTTCGGGCATTCGCACTGCTTCTCGCTGGGCGGCTGTTCCTCCATGCAGGCGGCCTTATCCACATGTATTACAATGCCCGAGGCCAGTTCCTGGACACAGCTCAGCTCACGCCGGCGGAAGTTTTCGCCATGCTGGCAGCGGCATTCGCCCCACTCGTCCTGTCTCCAATAGGCGGGGCACGGCTGTGTGTTGCAGTGCAGCAGGTTCTCGTTGAGCACCGGCTTTTCCGAGTGACCGCAACGGCGCTGCGAATAATAGCGAACCGGATTCTCACGAGCACAGCGCACAATCGGTGACTGGGTGCCGCCGCCGCAGGACTTGGTGCAAGCACTGAATCCGACCACCTTCCAGTTGAATTTACGCCTGCGTGCCGAGCGCGTGCTGCTCACAGAGCTGCCATCTTCACTGACAGCGCCAGATTTTAGGAAGCCGTCGCTGCTCTCCAGTGAGAGCTCATTTTCCTCCGAGTCGGACACAATGGGCAGCAAGTACTCGTACTTAATGCCAGGATTCAGAATGTTGCTGTACACCTGGTGGGGCAGAAAGTGCGTGTGAGCCGTTATGCTGGATTATGTTTGTGGCTAGTCGACATACCAAGAGTTCCACCGGATCCTTAATGGGGCCCGTGCTGGTGATCCACTCGGTAACGCCCTCGCCCTGCTGTACTCCATCGATGCGGTGATAGTCGAAGGTCGTGCCCGCCGCCTCATACGATCCGCTCTCCGACACCTCGTTCTCGCCATTGAAAATGCTCTTCTGTTCGCTTGTGCGCAAGACTGCAAGCAAATAAACAATTATTGATTTGTAATTGAAATAAGTAAACAAGACGCAAATCCAAAATATTGTTGGCTCGATTCTTAGAGCAGGCCATCAATTATCTAACAAATTGTAACTTAATCAAAGGAACGAATTCCAGTTGGAACGAAAATAGTCTATACTTCATTCCATACGAGACCTTTGGGGAAACCGTTCAAAAACCTATTTTAACTGATTCGTATCTCGGAAACTTATATGCTTTTGGACTCAAGGTCCATAGAATTTAAAAAGCTAATAGACAGTCGTGAACAGTTCGAGCTCAGTTTGAACCGAAATTTCATTCATATGGCTATTATATAAATTTATATATGTATATTAAAATTAATTCTTAATTCAATTTAATGAAGCTTAAGCTTACCAAGTAAATTTTCACTGTTCTTGAGTTCGGTTATGGATATATTCGATGCTCCGGCGGGTATTGTGGCCACATGTACATATGCATCCTCTGGCAACGGATCGCGAGTAAAGATACCAGTTACCGGACGGCACAGTAGGCCTCCACAGCTGACGGAGCCGCTATTTGCATACAGGCCCTTTATGGAGCCATTGCCAAGAACGGCCTGCAATTATACAAGGCATATACGATATACATATATATATATATATTTATGGAGAGCAGTAGATGGTATAATTGATTTTAATTGAAACAAATCAAAGCATGCCAGAAAACAGTGCTTTGTTTACAAAAAAAAAAAACAAAAATCACCAAAGGGCAAGGGGGCTTAGAGGGGAAATAGAATAGAGTAGAATAGAATCGAACACTCTCGACAGATGTCTAAGTTGACTCACCAGCCAGATTAACGCCAAGTGCCAGAGCCTAGGCATATCGCACTATATACTTATTAATATATACGCAAGGTGATCTCTGGTAAATGTTCTTTGTTTATGCGTTGAGTTAATTGTTTGATTTATACTGGATGTCAGTGGACTACATAAACAAACATATTTATATGTGCGTTAAATAAATTCAATGCAAATTACGTTCAATTTATCACAGCGCACGAAAATAATTAAATAAGTTATCTTTAAAGTGCCGTATTCTAAATACCCTTGCGCAGATAAAACAGATGAGCTTCTGATAAAGTGGTCTGTTATTAAAAATATAGAGTATCAAAAAAAATATATATAAAAAGACAGGCAACTCTTATGCTGATATAGTAGTTCGATCCGGCTCACTTTCTAGCCTTAAGACTAGCGTAACATATTTCGCGACAAACTGAGTGTACACTGCGCTAGGGTATACGAAAACATACCTATTCAAATGCAATAAAAAAAATTTGAAATTGAGAAAAAAGGTATTAAGTATATGCCAATTGGAAACGTTATCTGACTGTCTCAACATTCAAACCCAATTGGAATCAGTGTCTGGCTGTCTGCAAATACAATCCCAATTGGAAACAGTGTCTGACTGCGCCACAAATTTCATGACAAAATGAACATACACTCCGTTAGGGTATTCCGAAAAAACATAACAATTAAAATGCAATAAAAATAAAATAAAAAATTGCCAAAAAAAAAAAGGTACAACATAAAGTACATAAATATGCGAAATCAGTTGTGGGCGAAGGTGCAAACTAAATTGATATTCGCTTCCGGGCTAAGTGCAAATTGCCAATATCGAATCTTGAGTGTCTATATATATATATATTTATAGCCAATATGTGGGTATCTGCATATGTGCCGACATTTATGTTGAAGTTGTGATAAACTCGTAAATGGCCGATCGCTGAGTGCCGCGCGGGCGACTATCATCGCCGGGCCGCAGCGCGAGATAATTCTGTTTTAATGGCCAACTGGCAGCATTTGACGCACTTTTGCAAGTTTACGATGGCCACATTTCAGTTGGCCAGTCTCACTTGGTTGTTTACGACGCGACCCGCACAAGATTAAAGTGCTTTTCGATACCCTGTACCACACATGCAAGGGGTATATGCAGGCACATTAAAAAAAAGTTTCAGGCAATTCAACTGAATGCAGCAGCCACTATTTTTAATAAAAAGTGTAGATGGCATATAACTGTATTTTATGATTATTTACAATATGCAATACACCCTGTATCCTTATCCTTATGTAGCAAAGCTTGTGCAAAAATGCTTTTAATAACTATTTTTGTGCACACCTATTTCAAGCAAAAGGTGTCTTTTGACAAGGAAACAGTTTTTTATTTGTTGTCGAGGATTCAAAATTGAAAAGGAGTTTTTTGAGCGCTTTGGTAGAGATACTTTAAAGCGAGAAAAGTTTATTACGTGGTATCGTATAGCACGTCAACTACAGCATTCTTTAGTTTTAAGCACGATTCACAATTTCTAGACGTCGGCTTACTTTTTATGCACACATTAATAAATATATATAACTATATTAATATGGTATATAAAATAAGTATATATATTAGCGAATTTTAATGTGCTGCGCCTATCAAATTCAGATTTTAATAGCCAGTGTCTCGGATACCATAACACATACACAAGTTTATTAAAATAGCTCTGGCTAAGAACAATAAAAACATGACACTGCGTATAAGATCAGAAATTCATATGCGAATATTTTTGCCGTAGAAAAGAAATCAGAGTATACAAATTTTGATCTGCATCCAAATAGAGTAAAACGAAGACTGACGTAAATTTTGATTTGAACTAAGAAATGTAAAATAGATATAACAAAAAAATAGGCTGAATTTTCTAGAAAGCGGCAAATGGATCCAATTAAAGACTTTAAAAACAATTTAAGTATATTAGTACATTACGTAAATGCGAATTGTACATTTCTTTTATAGGTAAAATGTATTCAATTGAAATTCTCAAGTGTTTTGGCCAAAATGCAAAAAAAAAAATGGGTCTTAATTTTCAATTTTTTTACATAGAACAAAAAAGTAAAAATAATGAATGTAACATTTTTGAGAATTCAAAAAAAAAAAACTTTTAACTTAAATATCAGACTTTTATTTAATTTTTATGCCATATTTAAAAATCACTTTAGTTACACTAATAAACGGGTATAAGAAGCTTTAACTTTGCCAAATCTATTAAGTTTGTATTTAAAACTGATGCCGATGGGTTTGAAAAATATTTTTTAAAAAATTTGCTTTTAACTGGTTTTGATTTTGTGATGGATTCTGCTGCAATTCTCTCAGACTTTTATTTAATTTTTATGCCATATTTAAAAATCACTTTAGTTACACTAATAAACGGGTATAAGAAGCTTTAACTTTGCCAAATCTATTAAGTTTGTATTTAAAACTGATGCCGATGGGTTTGAAAAATATTTTTTAAAAAATTTGCTTTTAACTGGTTTTGATTTTGTGATGGATTCTGCTGCAATTCTGTCAGACTTTAATTTAATTTCTATGCCATATTTAAAAATCACTTTAGTTACACTAATTGAACGGACTTGAGAAGCTTTAACTTTGCCAAATCTATTAAGCTTGTATTCAAAACTGATGCCGATGGGTTTAAAAAATATTTTTTTTTAAAAATTTGCTTTTAACTGGTTTTGATTTTGTGATGGATTCTGCGGCGACGTGCGCGATTCTATGAGATACGGATACGCATGTGTTGCGTGCTTCGATTCGCGTCGCCTACTAAAATATTCGGCAAAGCGATTCATTTATTTCTAAAGAGTTTTTCATAACTCGGAGTGTGCTGCACACACACAATCGGCACTCTTGTTGTGGATAGGCATGAGCAAAGACAGCACTCGGATTTGTTGTTGTTGTTGTTTTTGTTGCTTTTTAGCATCATAGCAGATGAATAAACTGAACTAATCGAATATTGTAATAAAGAGGAGCAGGTATTTTATATTGTAATTGAGCCTCTTTACGAATAACAACTAATCACAAAACGTGTACTCATTTGCATTTACACGACATTAATAAAAAAATAAATAAAAACTAAAAAATGGAAACCTAATGGCACGAGCGTAAAATACCTGGCTACCTGTTAATTAATGGAGCCACTAAATGCGGCTACTGTTCGGGCTGATAGCGTGTTTTATCTGCAATCAGCTATAACATAATTGTGCGTTTTTTTGTTATTGCTTTTTTTTTTTTTATTGTTAGTATTAACATTTACCTTGCAAATGCCGTCGACACACATTGCGCGGCCCACTCGAGTGGACTTGGAGCGATAATATTCCGCCGGACGTTGGCAAGGTGTTCCATCAATAACGGTATCATTCAGAGTGGCAAAGTATTTCATGCCCAATGGCTTGCAATTCAGCTCGCACTCGGCATCGTCTGTCAAATAAATAAATATAACAATCGCAAGTTGTTCCCAATTAAAACCAGGCTCAGCGTCACTTCAACAGATTCTTCCATATATATATGTATATAATGCTCTACCTTTGATGTAGGGCTCCCAGCTATATTGGCGACCCTGGAAATCGACTTGATTGTAGGCAGCACATTGATATGCACGAATATCCAATGAATCCGTCGGACACGAGAGGTCATTGCATATCTGGTAGCGCTTCGAGAGGCCAACACAAGTATCGCTCGTATATACTCTACCTGTTGTAGAATTTCTGTAAATCAAAAGATTAATGTAAGATTACAAAAACAAAAAACAATAAATTAACATATATAAATAAGGCTCGTTATATTGCTTTGTGTATTACTTGCTCTCATCTGATAATTATCTGTGGAACTAAGTTTATAATATGTAGAAATATTTTTATATGATATATATATATATCATCATATATGAAAGTACTTCACAAAAAAACACTTGTATTCTTTATTTCATTTTAGTTTTATTTTATTTATGTGCGTAGACAAATGATTAAGATAATTTAGATACTCTCAATGATTCAAGGGATGCCAACATATCTAATCTTTAGTTCAGTTCGGTGAATTTCTTCTTTAGGAACTCGGTCAGTTCGGCGTTGGCAGGATTTCTGATCTCGAAGAGAGCCTTCTGCTTGTCATCGATTGAGATCTCGTCGGCGATGGCGGCGACAGCCTGTGCCTTCAGGGCTTTAATTTCTGTGGCGAACTTAACTTCGGGATCGGCCAATAGCTTCTCGAAGAACTCAACGCCGCTCTGCAGATCACTGTTGATCTTGGGCAGAGAGTCCTTCTTGAGGAAGTGCACAAATTCGGGGCTGAATGCCTTCTCCAGGTTGAGGAAGCCGTTCTTCTTCGCCTCGAATTCGGTCAGTTTCTGCAGGCCCTCAAGTTCGGCCAAAGTTTTCTCAATGTCAGCCTTGAATTCGGCCTTCTCCAGGGACTTGTAGAAGCTGATCGCGGCGAGTATATCCTCATTTAATTGATCCTCCTGCAGCTTTGACTGGACAAAGGTGCCGAATTCCTTAGAGAACTGCTGGGGCACACCGTTAACCAGGGCCTGCTTCTCCGTAAAGTCCTCGGTCTTCAGGGCGGACTCGTAGATCTTGATCAGCTTCTGCAGATCCTCCTTGTGGGAGCCATCGTCGTTGGTCAGATACTTTTCGTATTGCTGAAGTTGTCCGCGAATGTGATTGTTCAATGCCTCCGCGGGTTCCTCAGACAGCACGCACTTTAAGCAAATTTGCGTTTAAATCTGTATACAGTTTTGGCTATATCCTGATCAAACCTACCTGCACGACAAGCGCCAGCGACAGCAGGCAAATGGCAAATAATCTGGACATTCTGATATTTAATTACAATGCACAACAGCTTCGACGCGTTGATTGACGGAAACTCAGGTTGTTAAAAACTCGGCTCTCGTATTTATAGCAAAAATCTGTTCTCTCGCATTGGGGGGCTTTTTTTTTTTATATACTTATTTTAGTCGGTCATCAAAACAAGCGTACAAAGTCTGGCATTGTTCGGATGGAGCCTTGTGTGTTTGTTGCTTTTCTCGCCTTGTTGAGATTTCTTTTTAACTCGAAACAAGTCCAAAATGTAGAGTGAGACAACTAACAGAACTGTGCTCAAGATTGTGAACTTGACCAAAAGATACCCTATAAACTACTCTTCGTATCTCATATCAATTAACAAATATACAGCTGTGCCTTATAAGCATTAGATACCCGCTCCTACTCTGAACTAAATATGGCTGCCAAAAATCATATTCAACAATATGTATTTGGGTTTGTGTTTAAATATTCAGTTATTCCCTCATTAAGGGAATCATTATATCAGCGCTTATTTTCTATCTAAACTAACGGCAAATATATACAATTTCTTTAAGTTGAAGTAGTATATGGTATATGGCATACAGGTTTCCGTGATACGATATTTTTCTAGATTTTACGAGCCAAGTCGAACGGAATTAATGTTTGCACACAAAGTGGATTAGTTAAGTCAATAATTATCTAGTTAAGACATGGCTAAATAAAAGACAAAATTGTTTATTTATGTACATGAGATGGAAAAATACAAATAAGACATTTGCAGATAAAGGTCTTGCTCCACCACAAAATACCCTGCATAAAATGTTTGCCAAAGCCGAAACGACAAAGAGAGAGTGAGAGAAGGGCGAAAGGAAGGAGAAGTTGCAGTAGCCATAAATATAAATAAATATATAAAATTGCTAAATGTCAAGAAATTAAAGTTTAAATAGAATAAAATATAGAGTAGTATATCTATCGACCGGATAGACTCAGCTCTGTTTTCATATCATATATCTCTTAAATGTTGACAAAATAATTAGCATGAATTACTTTTCTGCCAAAATGACGCTGGACGCATACGAAAATAAAGAGAAAAAACCCAAAAGTCAAGGCAATAACCAGTTTAAGGTTTACTGAAGATGACTAAGAATCAACAATTTTGACCACAAAACTACTTTACAGCCCAGACGCAACTCGGGGAACTTTCATTTAATACGCAAATAGTAAAAATATATATAGCTAAATGCAATATTTTAATTGGTTACATTGTCCGGATTTAATGAACAGAACGTATGGGCCGCAGCACGCAGATCTCGATAGCACAATGCCAGCCACGTGACCAGCCTCCAAAATGCTTCTCAAGTATCCAATTTACCTGATGTTCAGACCTATTAGAGTTCTCTTTGTTTGAGCATTAATAAAGACCTCGTTCAATTTGAATTGCTAATTTAAAGAACGAAACTTCACGCTGCACCGAAGCTAATATACTCTGGAGTATATATATAAATATATATAACAAAAAGTAGATATATTTTCGGCAAGCCGAAGATTAAATACCCTTATAGACATTTGCCTGAGGGTTTAGCAGATAAGTGAGAATAGTGAGAATAGCTCGTAAATTCGGAGATTGTTAAAAATGGTTCCGATTGTTCTTTTAGCAGAGATGTAAATGATATAGTGCAACGATATTGCATAATGTACTGACCGAGTTCGGTCAAAGTATCTTGAAAAAAAAACAAAAGAGTTGTTCATAGAAGAACCTACTTTTCAGACGATCGTATACGATATAGTGGTCCGATCCAGCCGGTTCCTACTTATAGCATCTACTGCTTGCAACAAAAAGATGGATCCATGCAAAATTTCAAGAAAACCGAGAGGCTAGTTCCTATGGAAACAGAACAGACTGACAAGGCTATATTAACTCGGCTGCTGATGCCGATCTGAAATATATGTATATACTTTATGGACTCGGAAACGTCTCTTTGTAAAAATTATAATAAATAATATTATAATATCTCTACAGGAGCATTATAACACTAAGAATATATTAAAAATTTTGAGCTTGGTTTTTTTTTAATTTAAAAACAACTCTCAATTCCAAAAATTCTAAATACAAGATTCAAGTACAATAGCATTTGGAAATGCTGAAATTTGTACTTCAATATGCTTGTTTTAAGTATTTTGTACTTAATCTAAGCCTGTCTTTAGTCATATAACAAACATAATCGATTGATTTAAAAATCTGGTCTTGGTCGTATTTTTGAAAAACGTTCGATTGATTTAGAAACCCGCACTGGTTCGTACTTAAGAGAATTAATATATTAAAATAAACTTAAGAACTGTATACAAGAATTAATAAAAATGTATTTCGCTGAGTGTATTTAATAGGTCAATGGCTCACTCACCGATCAATGCACTTGCGGGTCTGATGCATTATGCCGCCTCCACAGCTGCGCGAGCATTCACTCCAGGGACTCCAGTTGGCCCATCTGGGAAAGGGTCGTCCCTTGAGCTTGGGCTTTCTCGTAGTCGTCGTCGTACTCGTCGTAGTCAGGGGTTCGGTTGCCAAGGCTGTGGACTCTTCAGCAATTAGGGATTTCGTCATCAATATTGGTTCTTCAGTCGTCCACGTTTCGAACGTTTCAGATGAGTTGGTATCATAGAGTTCCAGGCTCCGCAAGCGGGTCGCTTGGGTTGAAATGGGGCCAATTATGTTGGCATTGTTGGAGCTGGTTTCGCTATCCGTATAAACGTCATTAATACTTGAATTTTGTTTGGTTGTTGGCTCCTTATTTATGCGCCAGAGATTCGCAAGCTCGAAAGACGATCTCCACTTGGTGTACTTCGCTTTTTCCGTTTTGAGTTTATGTCGATTCAGCCACTCTTGATGTTTCTGCAAGAAATGTGATTTGAAATATATATACTTATTAAATGTGTAGAGTATTTAAGCTGGCAGGCAAACTTTTGGAAAGGCATTTAAAGCTCGGTTCCGTATCAATATTCAATTGGGGAACTCACCTTAATTCTTTCTAAAGTTGATGTATCCGCAACAATTAATTGGATTAAAGCTGCAACAACCAGGCAAATGCTAAACGTATTGAATAATAATAATAATATAGCAATAAATAATTTTAAAAATTTTCAGTTTGTACTTACGTAAATATATAAATATAATTTGCCATTGTATTGCAATTGGAGAGCTCTCGGACTACATAGGTATGCGACTAATCTAAACGAAAGAGACAGAAAAGTTGCATTAAAAATATCGCAAAATAATTATAACTATAATCAGAGAAACCTAAAACAATGCTTCAATCGTGCTGGGATTTGAACCAGCGTCCTTCTGAGGGCTCGATAATTGAGGCATGAACACTTTATTAAATAGAGTTCCTGACCTTATAAATGTCAAAGCCCATTTGGCGTCTGCCGGCTTGCAATAATATAAAAGAAAGCCCAGGGAATTAAATTGACTACGATTTGTACTAGTATATATGCTTCTTAGTATACATTTAATGTTCGATTCCCAGGCGATGGCTTCCCTTGTGAAATGCTTGCGATAAAATAAAATCAATTAATTTCAAACTGGGCAGCGCAATAAAGTAATAGCAAGTTAGGGCAAGGCAAAAATTATTGGCTTTTAAAATTCTTTAAAATTCAATTCAAATCAAAAACTGTTTAAAAAACTTTAAAAGAACTAAGCAAATAAATCAAGTTCATGAAAAAATAAAATTAATGATTTATTTAGTTCTGCGATAGACACATTGCTGTCAAATAGTAAATACACGTTGGAATGCGAAAAGAAAATATACACAAATACATAAATATATATAGGCAAAATACACTGAGAGAAAAGCGCCGCGAAAAAGTCTGGCTATATGCTTACATATAGCACTTCCATTAGGAAAATACTAAAATAATTGAATTATTTGTAATTAAATTATTTTTTAAATAATTAATTGACATAAGAAAGGGAAAACTTGTGAATTAAAAACAAACAAATTTGCTAGCTTAAAAAGGATCTTATTTTATTTATTAATATGTATTCTATTTTATCTATTATTATTTATTATGTTTCGTTTAATTCGGGTCTAATAAATGAATTTTGTCTACAAATAACTCGATGCTTTCTCTGAGTGTATGCATGCTGTTAACCAAATGTACATTCTATGCAAATGTTTGAATGGATTTCAACACATTTCTATGTACACATCCACAGCTTATTTCTCTTGCGGATGCTTTTACGCATAGCTGAGCTTTAAAAACAAAAATGAAGAAAGAACGCATTGAAACATGTGATCATTAATCTGCTCGTAATTTGCGCTGGCTGCGACAGACTTTGACACGCCCATCCCTCATTTATAATGAGCTCAGCTCAACTCAACGCAACTTAGCTCAGGCCGGCTCGGTTCGGTTCGACACGACTCGCCTCGAATCGGATCGGATCGGATCGAAAATGAATACGAAACATTACATCGGCAAATTGTCTGTGTACGTACTGCTACCCATGGCGGGTGCGACCAAATTAACTGCGTAGATTGGCTTTTTGCGATAGCGTCACAAATTTTCGGGATGAAAAGAGAATATTATCGCCAGCCCATCGGAAGTCGTTAGATCGAATAGACAGGGGCATATGTATGCGCTCGAGCATACGTACATACATATGTTATGTATTTACATACATATATTAGAAGAACTTTAGAAACTCGTTAGAACTAAATGGCAAAACATTTTATGCCCTTGCAGAGGGATCTATAAAATTGTCACAAAACATGTAACACACGCAATAAGAGATTTTTAATTCCGCAAAGTATTCAAATATACTACTATACTCTTTGAAAGCAATCTTGATCCACTTGGGCATACTATTTGTCAAAATTTGGTTTTGTGATTTTCTCTTTTACCATATCTCAAACAGTTCAAATCATCATATATCTGACCAAACGGGCAACTATATCATATATAGAAACAATCTGCTGGAAATTATATTTCTTTTAATGGCAGCACTTCGCAAATATCCCAAATATATATAAAAAAAAATAAAAAGATATTTAATATTATCCTCAAATATTATATATCAAATTTTTAAAAAATTAATAAAAGTTGAGTATTTTGTGTGACATTTTTAAAGTAATTTAATTCAATTTAAATTAATGAAATGTCCTTTTCAAAAACATTTTGATAAATGTCTATTTAAGCACATGATGCAAGATTTGTGTTCATTTATCTGCACTACAAATATATTTATATACTATATAAATTACTGTATATATATATAAAAATAGTACGCTTTGAGGCAATCCAGCAAATCGCCCGTGACCATGCTACAAAAAAAAAAGAACAAATGCGATAGCAAATGTGAGCCAAAGTAGTTGCTGGCATCGTTTTTTATAATTTGGACATTTTCGAGTAATACAATAAATACATCTGAGTGTGTGTGTGTGTGTGTGTGTGTGTAGCGAGAGAAGGGTGTGTTCTCTTGGCAAGCTCCCACAGAACTTAACCCAGCTGCCCGTCTGACAGACATTTCTGAATATATTCTGAACAGTTTGAATGGATTCAAATGAATTGAAATTGTCGCATACTATTGACCTTCATGGTGAATAGTTTTCAGAGTGAATGTTTCAATATTTGGGCGCTGCCTAACACTAACCCACATTGGCCAAAAAGGGTATTGCATTTTGAAAAGAATAAGAACATTTCACATGCACAGATTAATTGATATGTATATATGTATATATATATAGAGCATAACCAATAACCTTTGCGGTCTATAGATCACTCGAAAATCGCCCAATTTGGTGGCAAATAAATGACAACGACCCCATATTCGTTTCAATGTTAGAGTATTTAGAGTATTCAGTTAGAGTATGGATGGATATTTGTTTTGAATGTAAGAGTATTCAGAGTATTCAGTTAGAGTATGGATGGATATTTAAGTTTTGAATGTTAGAGTATTCAGATTATTCAGTTAGAGCATTGATAAATATTTTAGTCGCGATATTAGAGTATTCAATGTATTTGAAATAATTTGTTTGCGACAATCTTTAAAGAATTAGGTCACAGATTTTGAACGCTAATTAAAAAGTATCAAGCATGTGTCAATTATATAGAAAAAAAAACTCACTAATTGCAGAAAAGAAAAGTTCATAAAGATTAAATAAATAATATGTATTAAGTATAATTTATACTATAAGTATTATAGCTTTTATAGTTTCTGAAATGAATAGAAATATGTATTGAAAAAAAGTTTAATCAGCAAATCAAATACATTTGCAACAAACTTATAAATTGGAAGGGTATATAAACAAGCCAGTTGGCTGCTAAATAAGATGCAGAGAGTGCATCAGCATTAAGTAACATTAATGAGCCCGCGCACTTCTCGAATATGTGTCAATCGAGTCATTTCCATTCCCTGCCCGTTTCGAGTCATTCCCATTCCGGACAGACATTTGTTTGAAAATATTGCTTCAACATATATATTCATATTCATAGCTTTGTGTTTACAAATTGTGCGGTGGCACTTGAAGCTGTGAACAGGCTCTTACGAAATGGAAAGCCAGTGAAAAGTGGCAAACAAATTGCATATTTATGCCATGCCTACATGCATTTCCGCATACTTCAATGGAAGCGACAATTGTATATGGATCGGATATGAAGTGTATTCCATACGGAAATCGAGTCAAGTGTCCGCAATATTCGCATGCTACCAAAAATGTACAAAATGTGAAGTTTTGGTCGTACGCGTAGTGTTTCGGCTTATTTATGAATATGTCTGCACATTTTTTTTAGTTATGTAAATTTAATCATGTGCGTACTGAGGAAAGACACAATGCGGCCAGAAATTGAAAACTTTTACAAAATCGGCGCAAACATTTAAATAATAAATAAACAAAAACAGCCGGCGAATGTTGTTCAACAAAATGATAGCTCACAACAAAAAAAAGAAAAATATGAATATAAATTTACAATTATTATGAAACTTTATAATTTATTGATGTAAATACGCTGTAAGCATTCAAAAGCAATTCTCGAATATAGCTGCTGTTTTTTTTATTTTTTCCAGCCAGATTTTTTCTTATACAAAAAATGCCAACAAAAAGGGCTACCTACAGTACTTAATGGATTCATTTGGGATTTTTATTATATCTGGCTGCTATTGTCTCCTCGAAGACAATAAACTTGTAAGATTGATTGATGCACTTGAGCTGGAGGCCCGGGATGTCATTGGGCCATAAGTGCATTTTGTAATTGTGACGTTGCGTTGAAATGCTTATAGCCAACGAATATATTTGATTCAATTTTATTTAGTTTTTTTTTTTTTTCACTTTCAATTCAATTTGGCCCTTGCCCCAACCCACAAACCGATCATGCACTTTTTTGATAGCCTCAAAGGGCACGCGCGGCATTGTTTCACACGCTGTAAACTGGACTTTAAGAGAGGTTGATTGAAGAAACTGTGGTTGCTACCACGAAAGAAAAGCTGTCTCTGAGGTGCTGAACATTAATGATTACGACTGTAGAGTCAAGATATCTGATATATGGAAAAATAAGATATATTATAAGTACAACAACTTTCTCCCTAGCACATGATTCATATGATATTGAGCTCAAAAACTGGGGGACAAAGCTATATATGATCAAAAATATATACCCATTTAGTCGGGAGCTCCCAACTAGGGGATACCCTGCATATATATATTTTATTTTAGAAGCTATATGTCAAGTTTGGTGACTCTAGCTCTTATTATTTACCAAAATTGCCAAAAAAACAGGATATCGATATCGATTTTTATCGATTGCTTGGAAACGTAGTAAGTTATCGATTATCGGAAATAAACTGGATCTGCGCGGGAGCTAGGAGCACCTACATCTAAACTTTCAAGTCTCTAGCTCTTATAGGTTCTGAGATCCTAGCGGACGAACGGACAGACAGACAGACGGACATAGATCGACTCATCTATTGATGCTGATCAAGAATATATATACTTTATGGGGTCGGAGATGCTTCCTTCTGCCTGTTACATACATTTGAATTTCGCACAAATACAATATACCCTTATACCCACTTTTAATGGGTTCAGGGTATAAAAAGATCTTAACTAAAAAATCTATTTAAATTGCATTGAGGTTTGAATTGAATTGAATTGAGGTTTATCCCAGTTTAACTCTAAGCGCCCTTTGCTTACCCTTAAAAGTAGTTAAAGAATTTTCATTTAAATTAAACTAATATTCTGTTGCAGTGTCACTTTTATAAATCGCATAACTCACTAATGCTTTTTTCATTTGCCAATAAACATTTAAATGGAACGCACAAGTATTATGCATAATATTATGAATATATATTATTGCTAGTTTTTCACTAGATCGCAAGAGGCGGAGTTACGATACGGGCGAGATAAAGTTCGGTTTGTGTTTTTGTGAAAACCGCCTCCAAACAAATTGAACTAAAACTAACAAATTCGAATGTTTTCCCGATATATTTTCGTTTCAATTAAAGCCGCCGTCATCGTCGCGTGGTACGCAAATCCAAACTAAAATCGCTGGAAAATCGTTTTGGGAATTGAAGCGCGATGAAGACAGCCTCAGCCTCAGTCGCCGCCGACGCAGACGCGGACGCAGACGCCAGCTACTGCCTGCGACACAGAACTATGGTCAGCAGGGGGGTTAGTTGGGTGGGCGGTCGGTTTGTGGTTGACGGCGGCGGCGGCGCGCGCCCAAAAAAGTCTGGATGATGCGTGCCTCACACACTCACAGTGCGAGGGCGCGAGTGAGTATGAATGAATGTGCGAGTGTGAGTGCGAGTGTTATTGCGAGTGCTTGTTTGAATACAAGGCATCCAGAGGCTGTTGTTACGCACTTTAAATCAGAGCAACTTGGTTGTAGCTACCACTTAAACATACTCCCAATACGATATATATATATATATATGCACATATATATACATATGTTACATACATTCATGCACGCATGTTAATCAAATACACATTGTTTTATCACAAGCGGAAATGTTGGCTAAACAGAATTGTGCCCAGCTCAGCCACAAACAGGTGCATTCACATTCATATTCACAATCACATTCAACAATATTTACAGTGGAATTACACGCAAGATCAAATATTTGTTATGCTAATCGTGTTGTAGGGTCTGTCACAACGGTAAATTAGCCTAAGGCAACAGTTAGAGCAACTAGTTAAGCCACAAAGACCTTGTCTTAGACAGAATGAATACAATGTGCACGTTTCCTGAAAGCAAATCGTCAACTTCTACAGAATTTAAGCTTAAAGTTATGTCATATACATTAATTGAGCGAAATTCGGGCGCATTTGTATTTCGCAAGAATGTTGGGGTTAAAGTTCAGAATACAATATTTTATGGTTCGCTTATAGATTGCTTAAACGTATACAAAAACAAGAAATAATAAACAACTATCTTCGGCTGCCGAAGCTTAAACACTCTACCAAACATTCCAATTTCGTCCTATTGTTCCCATAGGAGCTACATAATATAGTGATCCGTTGCCAACCTATAGTTCCTTTATGATATACTGATAGTTTGGAACAGATTCTGCCAGTTTTGCAATAAATTAATCCTAGCAGAACTTATCTAAATTACATAAATATAGCCCTAGCTCTGACAGACTAATTTTCATTTAAGAAAACAGACAGACGGAGATGACATTAGAAAGAACTCGGCTATATATATATAAATTATGGGGTCGGGTTAAAAAATATAATACACCTCACAGAAATATATATATATTATCTATAAAAACATTAAAGAAATATAATAGGATATATATCGCATACATACCCACATTGGAAATTAGAATGTTTAAATACATTCCGAAATAGTTCAAGAAATTTAACTTGTACTGATTCCTAGCGCCATATATGAATAGTTTAGGCCTTTTAATGAATGTTGAATGAACAATCCAAAATTTAAATTAGGAATGGGCATAAATTTTAAATAATTTATGCAAGCGAGTCATTCACGAAATGAGTATTCCCATTTTCTTTATATTTTGTCGTTGTGGGTAATTAAATTAAAAGCTGCGCTTAGAAATTACCATTAAGTTCAATTAAAATTGTTCGAGCAATTGAATTGTGAGCTGCATTCCATTATTCACAAAATCATTAATTTCTGGCGATCCATAAATTTTTCTTAACTGCTTATTTTTGTGCAAAACAAAGAAAATCTTCAAAGTAACTTGATATTTAGCTGAATTCGTCTAAGTAAACTGTTACACAAATTGAATATTTTCATTAGATTTCAGCATTAATTTATAGTTTTCCTTAATTGATTTGATATATTCTTTATTGCGGCCAATTGAAAATAAAAAATGAAGCCTTTCCACCACACAGCTACGAGCCGAGCTTCTGCATTGTGGGTCATTAATTGCGGCACGAAGTCATAGATTTTAAATGGATAATCGTCTTTATTGACCCGCTTCTTTGACTTCTGTGTAATATATTAAAGGCAATTCTCGCATAGTCTGCCCACAAAATGTGGCCTATGCTTGTGAAATAATTCCAGTTTTATTACAGAGATTGAAAGTGAATTCGTATCGCATCGTATTGCTCCCAGTCGTTGTGGCTCTTTTAATTTTTAGCCTGACAACGACAGACCTCAGCTGTATCGTTTCTCGCAGGACACAGTGCGTCTGCTACTAGCATGACATTTCCCTTGATTTGCTCCTGCATGCATTCAAAGTGTCGTCTACGCTGGCCAATGGAACTCCCATCCGGACATTGGCAATTGCTGAAGTTGCTCGGCCGCCAAAAGGCCGGACACAGGCCACGATTGCAATTGTAGATGTCATCATTAAACGTTGGTTTCTCTATGAAGGCACACCGTCGGGGCGAGTAATATCTTATCAAGGATTCACGCACACATACACAGCGGAAAATGGGTGTTTGGGTGCCGGGACCACAAGACCGATTACATTCACCGAAACCCAATAATTTCCAACTAAAGCGCCTGCGTTTGCGCTCCTTAATTCTCTGTGCATAGCTATTATCTGTATCATTAATGAGCTTACCCGACTCATCCCAGATAGCTTGCAGTTCCTCCTCTTCGTTTACGGGCGGAGAGGAAATGGGTATAGTATAATTATATTGAATATCAACTATTGCGCTCTGGTTGTCGGCTAAGAAATGCTGCGTAAATAAAATTTGATATTTAGTTAAGAGCTTCCAAAGTCTTGTAAATGAAACCTTACCATCAAAATCACAGCCTTGGGAAACGGTCCCCTTGATGTTAGCAAACCATTTGGATGGTTATATTCGAAAGTATTATCATTGAAATCAAATATCTTTGAACGATCTCGATTTATGAGCAGGACTTCATCGGGGCTTTTCAAAGCTGCAAGCCACAGTTGAAATTAATCAAAGCACTTTGAGTTGATATAATCGACGAACTTACCTAACGAATCTTTGCCATGCACATTTAGCCCAATCGATAGATTCATAGCTCCAACTGGCAGTGTGGTGATGTAGTTGTAGGCCTTTGTACGATTTGTCTTGTTGAATATTTCACTAACATGTTTGCACAATACCGAACCACACTTCACTTGGCTATCACGAGTTGTGACAGGACGTATCAAGCCGCTGCTATGCACAGCCTGGAAAAAAGAAAAAAAAACAAGAACAAGGGCGAGGCGCTTACAAATTTGGATATATTGCTGAGAAATGTTGCAAATATCGGCGAGTGCTTTGATCTTGTGAGTAGCGTATCTCCGGCAGCAGTGAGTGGCTCAATATTTCACACTCATTGCCGGAATTACTCTAATCTAATGCACCTAAGGGCCACTCGAATGTTTTGACACAGTTTTCAGTTATATTTCGAGAGCGGGCTGGGAGCATCATGGAGAGTCGTAAGCGTGAACCATTAAAACAATGCAAAGGCTTTGTATCTGGGCTAATTACATGTGTATGTAAGTATTTGTAATTATCAGGCGATAATGGGGTCATGTCAACAGCAGGCCCATCCCACCATGGGCGCATCGCACCATTATCTATACAGTTTCTTTTACCAAGCCACAAGCCACACTGCTGCTCAATGCGTATACAAAAACTAATTAAATTATAAATTGGAAAGACCCGAAAGCCAACTGAATATGGAAATCATTGGCAAACGATATTAATTAAGATTTATTGCATCTGGCAGCCATTCAAGAACTACATTGGACTGTGTGTGGCCACGCAGAAAGCGGTTTTACGGACTCGTATTACAATGGGGAGTACCTGCATAGCGACATATGCACACACATATGTATGCCAGTATGTGCTAAGCACTTGGGCAATTTGCATGCTTTTGGTGAAAATTGGCTTTAGACAATTTAACCTGGCCATAAACAGAATTGAAATGCATTCAACATTGAATTGTGGTTGCCCTTGCTGAATGCCATCATTAAAAGCCAAATAGGTAACTGCACAAATATTTAAACGCTCCACAAGGTATTAGGGTCTTCTTGGTATATAGCAAAGTCTATTAATTCCACTCTGATTAGAGTTGAAGTTTCTAGTTTCATTTTCCAAGGAACCATGTATGTATATAACATTTTGCTTAGTTTAATATTCACCAGATGACATCACTCTCAAACACATAAACTTTACGCATAACGAGTTGAAATGAAATTTTATTGAGATGTCTATTCGACAGCGAAAAGAATTCAATTTGCAACTGGTATAAATGTACGCAATTAAAATCCCAACGCAGACCGGAAGAGGCAAAATTATTATTTGCAGATGTTATATAAAAGAAAATAACAAGTAAACGTTTCATCGAAGATTAAATACCCTACTATCTATCACTGATTTTGGTGGAAGTTTTTTGTTAGAATTACAACTCGGAATTGAAAAAGAAAAAGATTCTGAACAACTAAATACTCCTAATGCTAGAAAAATCCTTTAAGGTTAACTTACCCGACAAATTCCCTCCACACACACGGCCTGGCGTCTGTAGAAGTGGGTGTAGTAGACGGCCGGTCGATTACAGGGTGTACCATCTGTGACAGATTGATTCATACTTATGACTAAATCAGAGTTAACCGCGCGGCAGAATAACATGCACTCGTCATGTTCTTTTTCATATCCGACCCAATTATAGAACGTCTCACGATATGGCACACTGTTAAATCTTTCGCATTGTTCGTCGCGCAGCCGTTGCTTGCCAGGCTTGCAACGCTCCTCCTTACACTGCCGATACCGCTTCAATACTCCAAAGCAACCAGTTTTTCCACTGCCAGGATAGAATCGCCTTTCCACGGTGCTCTCCAGTGTCGAGTTTTTGATACTGTGTTAATATATAACAGCATATTAAATAAGATATTATTGTGATATATGCCCAATAAATGTATTTTTCTCTAAAGCACTTACCGCTCTATGCATTTGCGTTGCTTGATTTGCACACAAGTGGTTGAACATTTGCTCCACTTCTCCCAGCGATCCCATGCGTAAAATGTGCCCACTCTTTCGAGTGTGCTCTGGTTGCGTTGGCGTGTTTGCTTGCTAACTTCGTTCTCATCCACATAGTCAATATAATCATCCTCAATGTCCTCAATCAGGTCAGATTTGACAAATAAATTCGTTATGTTACCAAGATCCAGTTGGGTATTCTCTGCGGATGCATTGCACTTCAGGTTTTCCAAATATAATAGCATGACCAAACTTAAAGCCACGCTAAAACAAAATCAACTCCATTAGGTACCATAATTTAAAATAGTCAACAAAAAATTTATTGAAATAATTTGTTAACAATATATAATTATGAATATTACTCCGGATCAAACAATCCATTTTAGGGTTATATTAATTGTCTTATTAATCACGAAATTCGCTCAAGTGGAGGTTAATTGCTGACAGAGATTAAAATATTGATGCTGTGACAACATTTTTTTAACCGACTGCAGATTACTAAAACCATAAGTTCAAATATGAACATAAATTTTCCGCCGAACTGTATTTATGCCCATTTTAATCATATATGTATGTGTGTTAATTTAAAAAAGCCAATCCACATGTAATATAATTTGAACTCTGGTTATCTGGCGAACTCATTTGCAAGACCATAAATAAATACATTTACTGACCTTATCAACTGCATTTTGTTCTCTATTATTTGAATTGTATATATAAATATATAAACATTTGAGTCTGACGTTCCGCGTAAACTGCGTGTGCCATTAAAAAAGCCTACAGCACAACTAAGAACATTCCGAATTATTTGAAAATATTTTGTCCTAAAAACTAAAATCTACATAAACAGTACATCTCAGCTACGAAAATGGACTGTACTGTATTTCTCTTCGCTCCGTGTTGCTCTTGCGAGACGTGTTCAATAAGTAATGAATGTTATTCTCATAAAGAGCACGCGTTCTAATCGGAGCGTGGTACTATCTTAACAGTAGAGCTCAACTATTTTATGCGTGCTCTTACTTATACTAAAAATACTTGTGATGATTTTAGATGCTCAATTTTCATCGGTTTCTGAGCGCTTCAAGAGTGGTTCCGTGATATTGTAGTGTTTAGCATATTTCTGAAAATCAATAAATAAAAATTCATATAAATAGTTTATGTAAACCTTACTTAATTATTCAGTGCTGGTACCTCGCAGAGTTCAACATCTAAACAACAAATAGCTTGACAGGACTCATTCGTAGCGCTTTCTTTAGAGTGGCTGTTGAGTTTTACTTGAGGCAAGCCATCTGCTCCATTTTCCAGTGAAATTAGATTTTCTTTGACCAGAAACGATATGATCAATGCATTCTGCACACTGTCCATAAAGTTATGGGGATTGCAGATTAGTTTAAAATATGGAATTGGTTCATTGTTGCCCGCTCTGTAAATATTTTTAATCTGTTTCATAATATGATTGACAGCCGTAGAACCTTCGCCCTTCCGTTCCAGCTTGTCGCTTTGCTTGGGACGTTTTTCGACTGCCTATAAAGCGAATAAGTCTGTACTAATATAAATATATATGTAAGGATTGGCAGTAACTTACATCTGTGTTGGTTTTGCGCGATGCACGTTGTTTTGGAGTGTGCTTTTTTGGTTCTACATTGATAAAGGGTAGCATCGAGGCGTTTGTAAAGTATGGCACTCCATGCTGGCAAGCGAGGCTGCACAATGCATTCCAATCTTCGGCATTATCTTTAAAAACAATGTTGTTCTTTATCAGGCGTAAGCGGGACAATTTTTCGTGTCCACTATGGACACTTAACATGGTATGTGCCCATCATTTTCGGAGCCCGGCACAATGCATTTGGAAAAAATGCAAGGCTCCAACTTGTACTTACAATTGCCGTGCAAAACATTCGGTCTGTGAAGTTCGAATTATATTGTATGGCCTTTCCAACCACTTCGTGATTACGTCTTAGCAGTTCAGTGTCCAGTACCAATTCCGTAGAGTTTGTTTTGCGATCCTCATAGCCTTTGACAATATCGTTAGCCTTACTTAAAATATCATAAATGGCGGACATGGACTCGCCAAATGAGCGGGATTCAATCTGTTGCTCTGCAAAAAAAAAGTGCGCCATTAATAAGAGCATTGACAAATTAACGTACACTTACCAATCTTAATGTTTTTTTCAATTAGATCTTGTAACTGAATAATACGCTCGTTCTCCTCCGCTTCGTCATCCCGTTGAGTCGTTTCCATATTTTCCGTAGAATCCATTACGTTTTTTAAAAAAAATATTTTATCTGAAGAACCAAATGCTGCTAAATAGCAATAGCTTATCGATGATTTATCAAATGATAAATGTTCGATATTTCAATCGAAAACAGTCAATTTAGTTATATCGATATTTAGGACAATTTAAATGACCCAATTAGATAATTATATTTGTTTTTACAATTAAGATATCCTTTCAAGTGATATAAGTGAATATAATATTGGTGTTCATATATTGAATAATATGCTCATCATGGCTAATGTTCTCAACGGACAAAGGCATCCGAAAGATGAAGGACCATGTGCAAATTAGAATCGAATGAGTCGCAATTTTAATCATTTTTAATATTACATTATATTACTTTATCAACTGCATTTTGTTCTCTATTATTTGAATTGTATATATAAATATATAAACATTTGAGTCTGACGTTCCGCGTAAACTGCGTGTGCCATTAAAAAAGCCTACAGCACAACTAAGAACATTCCGAATTATTTGAAAATATTTTGTCCTAAAAACTAAAATCTACATAAACAGTACATCTCAGCTACGAAAATGGACTGTACTGTATTTCTCTTCGCTCCGTGTTGCTCTTGCGAGACGTGTTCAATAAGTAATGAATGTTATTCTCATAAAGAGCACGCGTTCTAATCGGAGCGTGGTACTATCTTAACAGTAGAGCTCAACTATTTTATGCGTGCTCTTACTTATACTAAAAATACTTGTGATGATTTTAGATGCTCAATTTTCATCGGTTTCTGAGCGCTTCAAGAGTGGTTCCGTGATATTGTAGTGTTTAGCATATTTCTGAAAATCAATAAATAAAAATTCATATAAATAGTTTATGTAAACCTTACTTAATTATTCAGTGCTGGTACCTCGCAGAGTTCAACATCTAAACAACAAATAGCTTGACAGGACTCATTCGTAGCGCTTTCTTTAGAGTGGCTGTTGAGTTTTACTTGAGGCAAGCCATCTGCTCCATTTTCCAGTGAAATTAGATTTTCTTTGACCAGAAACGATATGATCAATGCATTCTGCACACTGTCCATAAAGTTATGGGGATTGCAGATTAGTTTAAAATATGGAATTGGTTCATTGTTGCCCGCTCTGTAAATATTTTTAATCTGTTTCATAATATGATTGACAGCCGTAGAACCTTCGCCCTTCCGTTCCAGCTTGTCGCTTTGCTTGGGACGTTTTTCGACTGCCTATAAAGCGAATAAGTCTGTACTAATATAAATATATATGTAAGGATTGGCAGTAACTTACATCTGTGTTGGTTTTGCGCGATGCACGTTGTTTTGGAGTGTGCTTTTTTGGTTCTACATTGATAAAGGGTAGCATCGAGGCGTTTGTAAAGTATGGCACTCCATGCTGGCAAGCGAGGCTGCACAATGCATTCCAATCTTCGGCATTATCTTTAAAAACAATGTTGTTCTTTATCAGGCGTAAGCGGGACAATTTTTCGTGTCCACTATGGACACTTAACATGGTATGTGCCCATCATTTTCGGAGCCCGGCACAATGCATTTGGAAAAAATGCAAGGCTCCAACTTGTACTTACAATTGCCGTGCAAAACATTCGGTCTGTGAAGTTCGAATTATATTGTATGGCCTTTCCAACCACTTCGTGATTACGTCTTAGCAGTTCAGTGTCCAGTACCAATTCCGTAGAGTTTGTTTTGCGATCCTCATAGCCTTTGACAATATCGTTAGCCTTACTTAAAATATCATAAATGGCGGACATGGACTCGCCAAATGAGCGGGATTCAATCTGTTGCTCTGCAAAAAAAAAGTGCGCCATTAATAAGAGCATTGACAAATTAACGTACACTTACCAATCTTAATGTTTTTTTCAATTAGATCTTGTAACTGAATAATACGCTCGTTCTCCTCCGCTTCGTCATCCCGTTGAGTCGTTTCCATATTTTCCGTAGAATCCATTACGTTTTTTAAAAAAAATATTTTATCTGAAGAACCAAATGCTGCTAAATAGCAATAGCTTATCGATGATTTATCAAATGATAAATGTTCGATATTTCAATCGAAAACAGTCAATTTAGTTATATCGATATTTAGGACAATTTAAATGACCCAATTAGATAATTATATTTGTTTTTACAATTAAGATATCCTTTCAAGTGATATAAGTGAATATAATATTGGTGTTCATATATTGAATAATATGCTCATCATGGCTAATGTTCTCAACGGACAAAGGCATCCGAAAGATGAAGGACCATGTGCAAATTAGAATCGAATGAGTCGCAATTTTAATCATTTTTAATATTACATTATATTACTTTCTAAGCTTGTTGCCCTGCATGGGTGGACGATTTCCTTGCCCCGAATTACCAGCACGCATACCGCCATTCCCCAGCCCTCCACCACTGGGCCCACTGCGAATACCGAAACTATTTCGGTTCCCGCTTCGAGGTGCACGTTGGTTTTGGTTCTGTGAGGAATTGCCGCCACGGTTCTTGTTCATTTCGGCGCGATTTCGCGATTTAGCCTGTGCATCCTCCTTTACCATGTCAATAACTTCATCTGGAATACGTAAATACTTAATTGTACTTCCACGTATGAAGCATTCCGGCATGCGCCAAAACCGGTCTCCATCCTAAAAAGATATATTTCATTTAATATATGTATACAGTTCCGGGGCTCCAGAATGTTTTGATTCTTTGCCGGTAAGCCGACGCTCCCGGTGCAGAGTGTACAAACCTTTGAAGTACAAATTACATCGCGTAAGTTAATATTCATCCAGGAGTCACAACTGACTAAGTGTCCATTGTAGGTTTCTCCATTTTTTAACTCAACCAGCTGTCAAAAGAAATTTATTAAGAAACAAATCGAAAAAGTGCCATCAAATATATACACCGGCGTACTTACCATGGGATGACTTTGTGCTGTTTTTAAGAGTGATAACGGCAGCTGGAATTAGAAATATTGTTTTAAAACTGTTCGCTTATTTATGCTGAGAAAATAGCGTTACTTACCATTTTTATATTATTTTTATAAAATAACCAATGAGTATCTCAGAGATGAAAGTTTTCACGATATCTATATCAATCGCATATTGGAATGAACTTTATGAACCACAATAAGAAACTTGGTTCGATCGAACTTGTTCGCAACGCTTCGATGCAACTCTGAAGAAATAACTAATATGTGTTTATAATAAGTGGCTAAATAACGCAACTGAAATTTATAAACAGACTAAAACAACAATGGCATCGAAAAGGAAACAACATTTTGGGCTACCTGATAGTGAAACGTTTAAAAAGAAACACACACTGGACTCAGATGAAGAGGACTCTGACGACTACGAACGGTGAGTTAACCGTGAAGATATTCCAAAATAAACAAAAGAACACAAGCTATTGTTTATATTTCAGAGACAACCTTAATGATAGCGATATTGAAGGTGGAGAGGAAGGCGTGGGGAAAGTAGAAGACGATGTCAAGATAACTCCGTTTAATATGCGTGAAGAACTTGAAGAGGGTCATTTCGATAAGGATGGTCACTATCATTGGAACAAAGAGGCGGAGATTAAGGATAACTGGTTGGATAACATTGACTGGGTTAAGGTAATCACCTGTATATAATATGATATTGAATTTATATTAATCATTTACTAATTAATGCGATAGGTGGAGAAGGACAAGAACTATTTTGATCCCAACAATGGTGATGAAAACTCTGCAGATGACAGTTTACCTGTGAATCCATTTAATCTGTCAATGGCATTTGGTAAAATGCTTGAGTACATGAAACCGGGGGAGAGCGTACAGATGGCTTTGCAAAGATTGGGACGTAAGCGTCCCAAGTTGTCGACTCTTGAGAAGCTGAGGCAAAAGAAAGCCGGCATAGAGAGCAATGAATCGCAACAAATTTCAAAGCTAACCGAACTGGCGAATGAAATTCTTTCAAATACTGGAAATATGGATATATATCAAGAAACGTACGAAAAGATAAAGCATAAGCTCGAAGACTTGCCAAGCACAAGCAAGCCAGCCGGGGAATCTTTCGATATGTATGCGGATGATTTCGAGGAAAAAGAGTCCAAGCTATTAAAGGATTCACAGAAAACAATGGAGCCAAATACAAACGAAATAAAATGGGAATTTAAATGGAAGCAGACTGACGACGACATCCAGGGCCCATATAGTACAGAGAAAATGTTTAATTGGTCTCAAGGGGACTATTTTAAGAATGGAGTGTATGTACGCAAAGTTGGTGAAACTTCAAATTTCTATTCAAGCAATAGAATAGATTTCGATTTGTATTTATAAATAAAAATAATTGTAAATGCATATAGAAACAGTTGTGTTTTCAATTATTTAAGTCAGTTGTGTTCTTGACTTGTATAGAATATGAAGAATTAATAAAAGTAATTTTGTAAAAGATAGGTTGTGGTTCTTAAAATATTAAAATCAAAACTATTTTGTTGCAAAGAAAATTGCACGGGAAGTTCCGTATGATATTGGTAATGTGAAGATTGTAACAAATACTTAGATATTAGATTTAAGCGATGTATCGATAGAATACGTGAATGTATCGATGTTGGGAATAAGACAACATCGCTAAGAAGGAGGGAAAACGGCACTAATGTTTGAGCTGTTGAATTAAATGGACATTGAGAAAAGTTGTGAAATAAAGATATAAAAAAAGAATAAGAGAAGAGTGTGGATTTTACAGTATTGATCATATATGTGCTTTGTTTTAAATAAAACGATTGTTAATTACAGAAAAGCCGGCCGATAATTGTGGTGGTTGGTCGATAGTTAGACATATGATAGTCAGTTATCAACATCTCTGTTGCTAATAACAACACACTCTTGTTTACAAATTTATTGACATAAGAAAATTAGTATACTTTTGTACTTGTGTTCGTAATCCCCACAAATTCCGGCTTCGCAAAATTTATCGGCCAGCGCCCACTGGCCAAATAAAAAATTGCAAAAGATCGAGTAACCACTTACGACAGTCAACTAATTGCGCGAAATGTTCAAAAACACGTTTCAATCGGGATTTTTGTCAATACTTTATAGCATTGGTTCCAAGCCATTGCAGCTTTGGGACAAGAAAGTACGAAACGGGCATATTAAACGCATTACTGATAATGACATACAGAGTCTGGTTCTCGAAATAGTTGGAACCAATGTGAGCACCACGTTTATAACATGTCCGGCTGATCCAAAGAAGACGCTGGGCATTAAGTTACCATTTCTGGTAATGATCATCAAGAACATGAAAAAGTACTTTACATTCGAAGTACAGGTATGTGGTATATGCTAAAATGCAGACATCCAGAAATTCAAACAAATCTCTATTGTATATGTAAACAGGTTCTTGACGATAAAAATGTGCGACGCCGGTTTCGCGCTAGCAATTACCAATCTACCACTCGGGTGAAGCCGTTTATATGCACAATGCCTATGCGCTTGGATGAGGGTTGGAATCAGATACAATTCAATTTGTCAGACTTTACACGTCGTGCCTACGGCACCAACTATGTTGAAACACTGCGGGTGCAGATTCACGCAAACTGTCGAATACGTCGTGTATATTTCTCGGATCGACTTTATTCAGAGGACGAACTGCCTCCGGAATTTAAATTATTTTTGCCGATACAAAAGCCAGTTCAAAAGTCAACAGCCATTTGCAGTTAACCATTTAGCCGTCGATCTAATGAAATATATGCTCACATATTCAACTATAGTACATAGCCAACCAAGAGTCAGCGAATATTCAACTTTTAACAATCACTTTAATACAAAAATTTTCATGCAAGCCGCCGGCATACGTGTTTATTCAGAATTCTATGTCAACTATGCCTTAGTACACACCTTCAAATAAAAATTCACTATTTATGTAAACGTTGTTCCTTTAGACAGCATTTGTTAGCACCTCAACGCCAGTTTCTGTGATCAATATCGTATGCTCAAATTGTGCGCTACGCGAATTGTCTAAACTAACTGCCGTCCAGCCGTCCTCCAACAGGCCAATATCGCCGCAACCAAGAGACAAAATTGGTTCGATGGTAAAAGTCATGCCCGCTTGCATACGGCCCGGCGCCTCATTGGCTACATTTCGATTTGGCAAATTGAAGAATGTGTGAATACTTAAACTTAGGAATCATTGGAAGATTTCTTACCGTAATGATAAATTTCGGGTGGACCGTGAAAGTAGCTACCAATACCATGGCCAATAAATGCTGCCACGGATTCCAGGTCACGCTCTTGGCAATATCTCTGTATGTATTTGCCGATTTCATTAAATGGCACACCCGGACCACAGAGAGCTATACACTTGTCTAGGCAATCGCGTGTTGAATCCACTAGAAAGCGTCCACGCTCATCGACGTCACCAACAAGAAAAGTCTCCGAGCAATCGCCATGACAACCATTTTGGTAGACGGTCACATCAATGTTTATTATATCACCGTCGGCTAAGGGTCGGTCGTCCGGTATACCATGGCAGGCAACATTGTTAATAGACGTGCACAATGATTTCGGGAATCCAACATATCGAAGTGGAGATGGATAGGCGTTTTCTGAAATGATACGCTGGTGCGCAAAGTCATCAATCTCATCCGTAGTTATTCCAATTTTTGCCATTTTGCCGCACTCCCGGAGAATCTGTGCTGCCAGCTTGCCGCTGGAACGCATATGATTTAACTGCTCCTCATTTTTGATTTCAGGAGTTCCTAATGTATTGCCTGCCGGCATATCTTTATAATAGTACGGCGGCTTCTGTATGTGCTCGGGTACGTTGCGTTCATTAGAAACTTTGCCGGCGGCGCTTATTAATTCCCATTTGCCCTTGTCTCTGCAATACAGAGATGCAATTTGAATTACTAAATTTCACTTCAGCTAATAACTTAACATTGCTGAACAGATTAATTATATAAGACAAGAGTAAGATTTGGGTCATGTTATATATCCTTGTAAATTCCTCGAGTACTTTTCGAACTGCATATCCGGTTTGTTTTTTAGCTTATGGGCACAATCTCAAGTAGCAGGCTGTGTACCCTTTTGCACAAAACAGCTTCTAGCATTTAATTGAATTTGTATGCAATGTTTAAATTATTTAATATGTTAAATTTTGTAGCTGTAAGTATAAGTAGAAAATATACTATTACAACCTTTGCATCGAAAATAGACCATACCGTTTGCTAAGTTGGAAAAAATTCCGCTGCAAATATTGACCACAAACATGCCATGCATTCCTTGATAATTGAAACCGCATTTTGTTTTTAACAACAAATAAACCAAAATTTAATTCGAACAGCTGGGCACGCACGGGCACTGCACGGTTGCACACTTATCGATAGTGCGACTTATCGATATTTGAATCGATAGTCCTTACAAATATTTTTTGTAAACAGACATAGAACTCCTTTTAACGCCAGTAGAAGCCAATTTAAATAAATATTAAATATATATGTGATGAGTTGCAACTATGCAGAAGGCCTTTCAGCATACGAAAATAAAGGAATTCTAGGTGTTCCAGAAGTAAGAAGTCAAATTTTGTATACCCAATACATAAATAAATAACCAGAAAAAAATATGATTTTTAGAATTTCGACAGTGAAGAAATTGTCAACCAAAAATGTAAGGAGCTTGCAAACTTAATTAAAGACTCTAAGCATGTTGTATTCCATACGGGTGCAGGCCTTAGCACATCAGCTGGTATTCCCGATTTTAGGTATTTGATTAAACTGTGTTTTTATGTGCCTATGATTTTTTTTGACAATTATACTTTCAGAGGACCCAAGGGCGTTTGGACGCTTGAACAGAAAGGCGAAAAGCCTACTTTTAACACATCTTTTGACGCAGCACGGCCAACCAAATCTCATATGGCCTTAAAGTCTTTAGTTGAACATGGATATGTTCAGTATATCGTCTCACAAAACATTGACGGCCTGCATTTAAAATCTGGCCTAGATCGAAAATACTTGGCCGAGCTTCACGGCAATATCTTTATAGAGCAGTGCCAGAAATGTCGACGGCAGTTCGTACGCAAAACGGCCGTGGAGACAGTGGGCCAAAAGCTATTGGGGCTCCCATGTAGGTCCATTGAGATTGGCAATAGTCGCAGCTGTCGCGGTGGAGTAATGCACGATAACGTCTTGGATTGGGAACACGACCTACCCGAACGTGACCTAGATATGGCATTTATGAATTCAACGTAAGAAATATTAAAGATTATCCCATATTAAATATATATATGTATATTGCAAATTTAGAATGGCTGATATTAATATAACCCTGGGTACCACTCTGCAAATTGTACCAAGCGGAAATTTACCTCTAAAAAATCTCAAGCATGGTGGCAAACTTGTCATATGCAACTTGCAGCCCACAAAGCATGTAAGAACACTTATAAAATAACCATCAATTATTTAATAAGCGTCTTATCTTTACAGGATAAGAAAGCATATTTAAGTATTTCGAGTTATATTGATGATATACTGGCGAAAGTGTGCAAGCGTTTGGGCATTGAAATTCCAGAGTACTCGGAAGAGTATGATCCTACAAAGCATTCCAACATTTCGGAATGGACTCTGCCCCAAGAGTATGTAAAAGAAATGGATAAACAATTTAAGGAACATCAGAAATCTTCAGCGAAGAATCGAAATACAGGCTCTACAGCATGTAAACCGCTTCTTAAAGGAAAAATGATCAAAAAGCGTAAAAAAAGTGAATAATCAGCATTAGCATAGTATTAAGAATTAAAGTTACTAAATTTATAAATAGCAACAAAGTCTAGCTTATATTATCTATAATTAAGTGCAATTAAGTAACTAAAACTGTTTCAAAACAGGACGATTCTGCAATGACTGCAGCTCGCTCAGCATCACAGCCACATTGTATCGCAAACGTTGAAACATTGATAATGGCAGCTCCAAGGTGCGATACTCGCCATTATTCAATTTGAAATGCAGCACAATAGTGGGTTTATCCAGTTGGGCCATCCTAAACATATCCGTGTGTAATACATAAACAGGACAAATCCGCATTTACTTACGTTGAGCCCAGGGAAATGTTGATGCGCCATTGCATGTCCAGCATTTTTGCTCTTTCCATTTTGGTTTCCGCAAAATTTCTGCTAAGCGTGGCGCGGTGATTGAGCAGCACCTTGGTTAAATCCTCAGCGCACGCATCTGTGAAGCTAATAAAAAAAAACCATGCATATATGTTACTTTCGTAAGTTAAATATTATATAGTTTTTTTTAGGCTTACCACAAATCCTCAGTTAAGCACTGACGCAGCTCCTGGTCCTTGACCACACCTTTTGGGTATCGCAAATATATTTGCATAATCAGCAGCACCATTGTAAATAATTCGCAAAAATTCTTAGGTACTTCGTGGCCTGCATTTTTCAGTTTGTTAATTGCAAGTGCTAAAACGTCGGCTGATGATTTTTTTGTCTCAATGTAATGCACAGAGACTTGTATTAAGACTCGAAGCGCTGATTTATTTAATTGTGGAATGTATATGGTGTATGGTTTGACGCTCTTTAATATATGATATCGAAAATTTAAGGACATATTGTGCTTTTCAATTTTTTTTTTCCTTTCAAAATATTATTATTGCAATCTTGTTATCGCTCCAATTGGACTAGTTCAATTTGGAGATGAACAAGATCAACGTTCAATGAACCAATTCATCGCAAACATTTGTGTCGCTCGAATGAACAATGGCTCTTCTACCTCTTGATTGAATTAGAATTCACAAGTGGTCTTGCATGTTCTTGAAAATAGTATAATAAAAAAGTTTTAAAGTTTTAGAATTTTATATTTTAAATATTAAAATTTTTCCAAGATTTGGTTTACATCACTATTTGATATTCGGATGAGGGACAGCATTTAGACCTTTAAAACTACAATTGTTACGCTAGGCGGGTAGTTTTAAAAAAAATTGTGTCGAAATTTAAATTTAAATTAATTTTTGATTTGCAGCAAGCGTTGTTTTGCTATATAACCTGCTATTTTTTTTGGATGATCATTAAAGCAAGCTAGGTAAAACAATTAAATGGCATATTTTTAACAAAGTTTTATAATCAGATTACTTCTTGTCATAGTATCGAAGTTGACCAGAAACGCTGATAGAACTGGTTGATTTATTATTTGTAAATTAAATTATAATTAGTAAATATTTTGATTTTGGTTGTGGGAATAGACGAGGTCAGATAAGATACACATAAGTGCCTTGCATACATGCTTATGTAAAGATGCTCGTTCATACATTGATAAGCAAAAATTACGATAGCTGAATAATTGTTTTGTATGCTGATGGAAATCATAATGAATAGAATTTGTACATTATTTGTATACTTTAATAATTTGCATTGAGTTGGTATATGCATAAATTAATTGGTGCCACATTTTAATTTCTTATACTCTTCATTTTAAACTAAATGTAAAACAAAAAAAATATGTTCCCTTTCGATATACAATATCATTTTTTGTTTCTGTTATGCGACAAAGATCTACTATGTAATAACACTGTCCACATCTTCAATATTGCTGTTCCTCTCTCCAAATCCTTTGCCTCATCCTCCTCTGGCTCTGCTGTGACGGCACCACACACACACACGCACGAATGGAATTATTAGCTGCTGCGGCTGCTGTTGCTTATGCTGGCAGCTGTAGCTTTTTGCCTTTGAGCACTTTGGTAATATATAGATAAAAGAAATCGCAGTAAAGTATGGTCTGGACGATGCCCGCAAAGATCGCAATAAGATCATAATGCGACTCCACCATGTAGCGATAGACCCAATTGAGCAGATATAGGGCACGGTAGGAGCCCAGGGCAAACAAATAATGGCTTGTAATCGATTCGGCCTCTCCGGTCTTGCTAACCAGGAACAGTTGCGGCAATATGGCAACCGATTCCAAATAGATTGAGAATGTCCAGAGCACCTCCATCAATGTAAACTCGTGATTAATTACCAAAGATAGCAGAGCACATGGTATTAGCAAAAACTCAATGCGGAACGAATCGTGATTATGATCGTAGGTGGCCTTAAATTTCACATACATCAGATAGACCGTTGCGCCCGATGTGGCCAGGAAGAGCACCTTCATTACCGAATTGTAGAGGCTGACGTACGTGGTAAATAGGTCCAGGTAGCGTGTCAGATATACGATAGCGAATAATATTTGAGATTTGCCAGAGATGCCGGCGCATGATCGTGTCTTCCATATTTTAAGCAATAGTATTATTATAGCAAATACATGCGATAAATCTCCAGCAAACCGAAAAATATTCATTCTGAGTGATTCGTCAGTTCCTTTTTTTTTTTTTCTTTCGTTTTTATTGGCGGAGTGTTCTTTCTTGTAGTTGCACGGTTTTCGCGACGTCACCCTGAATGGGATAAAAGTATTTGCAATTATGCTATAATGTATTAGCAATTACAATACCGTACTTTACCAAACCACACAATTTGTTTAATTTTCACTTGTTTTGCCAACGAGTTAAAACTTTTTGGTGTTGTGCCGCCTATATGTACGTAGAATGTCGGCACAAAAGAGAGCAACAAAGAGAGCCAAAGTGACGTGGCCACATACATATATGAGCATTCGAGACGTTTGAGCACAATTTATTTGTTCTCAACAGAATATAAAAACAGGGCTGCATTCAATTATCGAATTAGTAATGCAAACCGGCACATTCGATAAAAACGCCTATATTTCCTAATCGCAACACAGCGATATACATCAATGCGTCGATAACCTAATTGTCGACAGAGATGCAGTAGTTTGTTTAGCCATTTTATTTTCACTTAAAGAAATAATTATAAGCTGCTAACATTTATAAATTTTTCCTATCAAGACATAGTATAACGGCCCAAAAATGGTAAGTTTGATTTAAATTTTTTGCTTAGACAAATTAAAAAAAAAAAATTCGCAAACGTTTGTGTTCATTATGCCGCCTTTGCCGGCCATGCTTGTTTTTTGTTTTATAAAATATGCTTTGTTTTAATAATAAATAATTTATGCTCCCATTTTTCAGACCATAGGCAAGAATAACAAAATGATTCAGCACCTGAACTATCGGGTGCGAATTGTGCTGCAGGATTCGAGGACGTTTATTGGAACTTTCAAGGCATTTGATAAGCATATGAATCTTATATTGGGCGATTGCGAAGAGTTCCGTAAAATACGCTCTAAGAACTCGAAGGTGCCCGAGCGGGAGGAGAAGCGTGTGCTGGGGTTTGTGCTGCTGCGTGGTGAGAACATTGTATCACTTACCGTCGAAGGGCCACCACCACCCGAGGAGGGCCTGCCACGAGTACCCATTCCCGGCGCTGCTCCAGGTCCAGGCATTGGTCGTGTTGCTGGCCGTGGCGTACCGATGAACATATCGTCCGTACCGGCTGGGTTGCAAGGTCCCGTAAGAGGCGTGGGTGGTCCCGCTCAACAGCACATGGCGCCGATGGGTCGAGGTGTGCCCAGAGCCCCAATGATGGGTGCACCGCCGCCAGGCATGATTCCCGGCGGCATTCCTGCTATGCCAGGCAGTCTCGGACGCGGCGCACCACCACCAATGAGGGGACCACCACCAATGATGCGCGGCGCACCACCGCCAGGTCGAGGTGGCTATTAATTAACAGCATCCGTTTATCTTTATAGTAAATAAAATAAAATTTGAGTCAGTAATTGGCTTTTTATGTGGGTAAATCTGAGAATTGGTTCTTCGTAATTCGATTTGTTACGAAGACTCAATGATATCTAGCTATATACTCGATATGTAAAGCAATCAGTTATTTTACATTTTCAAGAGTAAGATATAGCAAATAAAAATAATATTTGAGTTTTGAAGCATTTAAATTTATATACATACATTTTTTATATTATGCATGCTTTGAATACACATATAATTATTTGAATGTTACAGACGTTGTTTGATTTTTATTGATATCAATGGATTTTCGTTTTAGATCAATTTCAATTTGATGAAAAGAGAACTTATCAATTGTAAATATTTATAATTATATGTATATGCGTTTAATGTTGAACATTGCTTATATTGTAAAAGTGCTTCCAACCGTGGCAAATTTCATTCTTTTTTTTTCAATACTTACATATGTATTTGGTATTTTTATTTAGTTTAATACAATACAATATAATTTTTTAAAATTGAAACGCCGAACTTGCGGTCAAGTCATGCAGGCTGCGCAGTTGCCGTTGTATAAACATTATGCCCAAATGGTTGACAAATCCCACACCTTGATGAGTCGATCCTGGCCGACGGTCAGCAAACGCTTACGCTCCTCGTCCAGGTCCATATGCACAATAGAATGCTTGGCATCGTGAAAGGCTGCTAAAGATGGACGCTCCACTGTCTGCAGCTGCTTGTAGCATGGATCGCAGCAGCGCACGTCGAATTCAAAGCCCATTATGGGTATATTGATGCGATTTGTTGAGCAATTATCGCAAACAGCTTTGCCGCAGTGCCGGCAATGATGTTGTCGTATGCCTGCATTAAAATAACATTTAATAACCAAGTCATTCAATGTAAATGCATTAACTTGCCCAATTGCTTTTGGTCCATCATCGAGCGAAAGTTCCAAAAGAATGGTCTTGAGCACAGCTGGCAATTATTGGACTCTACCCAGCCTGGCACCTCCTTGCGCATCGCGTTCATTTCCCAAAACACAACAACTGAATCCTCACCGCACGAAATCAACTGTTGAGTGTGGTTGGCGTACGCCAAAGCCGATACTTTGTTGCTGAATTGAGGGTGTTTGCCATGTTAATATATTGTTATCAGTTATGGATGTATGTGTGTTACCCATGGCCTTGCAATTCGTAAATTGTGCCTCGCTTGCCACCAACATCCCAGACAATAACCGATTGATCGCACGCGCCACTGAACAATAGCTGAGGACCTTCGACCCATCTTAAGCACCTAATGCCAGCTGAAAGGGTATTGTGTTAGTCAAAATCTGATCAGCACAGGCTTGATTTTGTAAATTGTCTGCAATTGTTTTTACCCGTGTGTCCTTTGAATGTGGTGATAAGCTGCACTCCCTGCACCTCGCAGCGCAGCATTGTTATTTGACCCGCATGATCTCCAATGAATGCATATTTTGCTAAAGCATCAAACCTAGATTAAAGTTAATTTGATTAATTTCAAATAAAATTGTTCTAATTATATTCCATTACTGCTGCAATCTCATGTCGCGTGGAGATTACTTATTTACTCACTGTAGCGCTGTGCATGGTGTTTCAAAATTGTATCCGCCCACTCGCTTGGCGGTCTCCGTACAATGGTATGCGAACTGTTTATCTTTGCCAGCAGAGAGTATCCAGTTATGGCTCTTGGAAAAAACGACGGCTACAACGCGACCCTGATGCGACAAATAGTCGCGCATGAATGATAAGCGATTGCAGTCCTCAGAGAGTGTGTATTGGGTGACGGTACCGTTGTCTTGGCCAATGTACAATTGTCGCAGCTCTGGAACATATTCGATGGCCGTACAGCCTGAGGGCATATACTGGCAAATACTGGGCCAATATTGGCCGGAATCTCGTTTAAGCCATACTCGCACAGTTCTATATACAAAAGTAACATATTTTGCTTGAGTAAAGCTTATGTTTATTATGGGTTG